CGGTAAAAGTATTATTAACCAGCTATATATGAGTTGTTTCCCTTAATTTATCTTTTTGATTAACTGCCAAATAGAATTTAATTGAATGTTAAATACTTAGTTTAAACATATATTATTGTGTACATATTATGTACATACATAAAAAATGGACTGTGGTTTTCTAAATTTGAGTCCATGTTATGCCTTCCGCATAGAATGACTTAGTTTTTGCAGTATTGCCTATGTTACATTCAAGGAATTTAAATCACAGGATAAGAAAATAGAATAGTCAATATATTGCTGGACGTCCGTCTTTTTATTTCATTATCTTAAGAGAGTTCATGTTAACTTGTAAAGTTGTTTTAAAGAAAACTATTCGGTTAACTTGCCAGATATTGGAGCTTCTGATGTATTTTGAAAGATTTTTTATGACACTTACAATATTACATAATCTTCTTCCTAATACATACTTTTTAAAATTGATGGACTAAGACACTAACTAAACGTGGACAATTCTGAATATTTTTACCAACATGGCCATGTTACAACATTCAACAAACAAACTTTGCTTTTTGGTTAACATATATATAACCATCAGGTGTGCATTTAACAGTAATGTTGACTTATCATTTTATTTTGTCAAAATTTTGTTTTCCGGGAAAATTATGATATTTTATTTTTAAAGATTTTTTTAATTACAATCAAAACAAAAAAACAAAATACACTTCTTGATTATAACACCACAAACAGTATGTTTTGTCCCAATAATGAGACATGTAAGCTAATATTTTCTTGTATACACAATTATTTAAAAATTATGAGACGCCTGTAAAAAATCCGTACCTATAAAAATATTTGTAAAGGTTCGGGAAACTAATTAATAAAAAAGCAGAATTATAATCAAAAGTTCTATTATGAGTACTATAATTGTTATGATATTATATTAATGTAAATATATTCTGCAATATATAGAGGATATTGAATGAGTGTAAGTTCAATACTGAATTTATTGCTCGAGTTGAATAAAATTATATTATGCGAGCCTCTGGCGAGCATAATATTATTTTATTCAACGCGTGCAATAAATTCAGTATTGAACTTACACTCATTAAATATTCTATTTATCACATACCCTAAATAAAGACCGTTTAAAATGAAATAAGAGTAATTTTTCATTGACGCTAACATTTAGCGCGTCTTTACACTATGTTTGTATAACCCTAATGACGTCATGTCAAAATATGTGCACGGCCGTGCAATACCATTTTTACGGAGTCATAAAATCGGCACGGGTGTGTGATAAAATGTAATATGCACGAAATAAGAAAGGTAACTTAAAAATGCTTCATATCATTCAATAGAGTCTCTACACTATCACGATGTCTCCGAACTGTTTACTTTAGTTGTCAACCCTCAAAAACATGAAAAAATAGTAATAACTTTCATTGGATAATTCTGGCAAATACGAAAGTAGATTTGCTCATTGGTTTCATTTGTGGTTATTGTCAAAATAAATAAAAAAAATAGCCACCCTAAAAGTTCACTTTTAAGCGTGTTTGTTAAGAAAACAAAGCAGACAAGATAATTATTAAAATCATAAAAGAAGAATTTTAAACAAACACGTCAAAAAATTGGCGGCACATGCGTTTATAATATTAGAAGTCCAAACAAAGCAAAAAATAACCAAGACGAAACTATACGTTCTTGCGTATGTCCAAGTGGTTTTAATGGAAACAACTGCGAAACAGGTATGTAATTTCTTTGTACATTCGATGTTAAATATTAGTCTGGATTATCTGCCCCTAAGTTCTAACACGGTTTACGCTGGGAACTAGACTAGGTCGAATGCATACTCTCTAAAGCGATTTCTTACCCTGAACAGTACTGTATGATGTGTGACATAGTGGGTCGAATTGTCCAGTGGTTTAAATCGTGATAATCGAACAGCATGGCCATTGCTGAGAGTGGAATGTGAGGCGGTGCATATTCTATCAGTCCAGCAGTTTTAATTAAAGATATATGATTAGCAGACAAACGACGATTTGATGAAAAAGATCAAACAGTCCTTATCATATCTTGTTATTATAAACAGTATAGTAATTGAGATATTAAAATCATATTTGCATAAAGCATGCACAGTGCCGCATATTTGACTATGAATATTTACTAAGTTCAGTTCGATATAAGAGGTGGAACTGACATCGGTTACCCATCCACCAGGTGACAGCAGTTCAGTAATTAAACGATTTCCACGTTAGGTATCTTTAAAGATATACCACCAACAGAATGAGGAAAATAAACAAGGAGTATTTCTGTTACATATAGCATTTAAATTTCAGCAATAGACGAGTGTGCCTCGAACCCATGCCTGCACGGGACATGTGAAGATTTACATGACGCGTTCTTGTGTATTTGCAACCCTGGATGGGAGGGGGTGCAATGTGACCAAGGTAAAACGTTACTAATTTAGTAAGCAAAAACATGTCGGTGTGTAATAAAGAATGCTTGAAGAAAAATTCTTACTGTTGATACAGTATCACTGAAATAAGCCGAATTAAATTAAAAAAACAACACCAACACCACCACCATAACAACAACAACAACAAAATGGTGTTGTCGTAAAAACAAATTGTATATAAATGGCATTTTCAAGCTATATGTAAGTTCATTTATATGCGTTTTTGCAGCCTTTGTTCTAGATTATGTTAGTTTTTCCATTACGAAACGAACATATTAGTACTCGGTTATCTGAGTCGCCAATTTTTTTGTTACATGTATAATTGGAACATTGTTTTTTGTTTTTCTTTTTTGTTGATATTCACCAGACATTAATGAATGTTCATCTAACCCATGCGGAGAAAATGGTAACTGCACTGACACGGAAAATGGGTATGAGTGTGAATGCCCCTTTGCATATACCGGCAACTGCGACTGTATTGACCGTGAGTTGCTTCCCTTTCATAACATATTGACTATTTTGTATTAAAGAACATGATAACAAGTTATATAAGTAAAAAGATGACATTCTATTTTTTCTGTATCGAAGTTACGTTCTGTAAGATTTCTGCACCGTTCATTTTATATTGAGTAGGCGATGATTAGATTTGTTATTAAGAATTTAATGGTATATTATTTCAATGCATTTTGTATTTTGACAAAACACGGCAATTAATTTTTGCGAGCCACATTTTTTTTAATTACTAGAATACTGTCAAGGTCATAAAATTATGTTGAGTTTGTACTTGCAATGGCTGAAAAATACCCTAACTGAGTGGAATGAACGACCTTTCGTACGCTAGCTAAGTAAAATGGCCCAACCTTTCATACGCTAGCTGAGTAAAATGACCCGACTTTCTTGCGTTAGCAGAGTAAAATGACATGACCTTTCGTACGCTAACTGAGTAAAATTACCCTACCTTTCATACGCTAGCTGAGTAAAGTTACAGACCTTTCGTACGCTAGCTGAATAAAAAGAATGACCTTTCATACGCTAGCTGAGTAAAATTACCCTACCTTTCATACGCTAGCATAGTAAAATGACATGACCTTTCTTGCATTAGCATAGCAAAATGACATGACCTTTCGTACGCTAGCTGAGTAAAATGACCCGACCTTTTGTAAGCTAGCTGAATAAAATGACCTGACGTTTCAATTGTAAGTTGAGTAAAATGACGTGACCTTTCGTACATTAGCTGAGTCAGATGTCCTTAGCGGGAATCGAACAAGCAGCAGTGTTGATCTTGAAAATGGAAATTAATATTTGGCGTCGTAAGTGATTCAATTCTTTGTTATTTTACTGCAATGAAGTTTAATTTGATTTATAGCCTTGATGGCAAACCTGGTTTACGGTTACAAGGACGTATACGACTCGAGTGCAGCTTTGGGCGGACAAGCAGAGTTTGCTGTCAACCAGGATTTTAGACCAATTCACGCCGATCAATACTGTCAGCACAGTGCCGACTCGGACTTGACACCATCCTGGACCATTAAGTTGATCCAGCCATTCCCAATAAGGAGAATTGTTATAACGAACAGAATGGAGTGTTGCTGTAAAGTCATTACTTTTCCTTTATGGTTTGATACTGTTATACCGCATACGCCAAACAGGTTTTTAAATAATCGATAAACCTTTCAAGAACATAATTAAGATTTGGTTGGTGTAGAATAAGGTTATCAACGGAAGCCATGAGTAATGTCCCTTTATGAGTAATGTGCCTTTCTTTGGTTTAGCTGTGAAATTACTTGTTTTCAGTCCCGTGTCATCAGCTGTTGGAAATAATAGAAATTCGTCAAAAATAACCTCAAAAAATAAAAGAACACATTTAATCGGCACCATTTTTAACAGAATGATGTCGCTTCATGTGCAGAGAAGATAATTACAGCCTGTTCTACATGTTTATTGAAATTATCGATATCCATCTCATGTTTTAACAATTCGAGTAGGAAATAGTGATGGCCCTTGAATACTGAAATGCATCGACGTAGTTTTAGTGATGATCCTTAGTTACTGATATACATCTATGTACATTACAAAAATAGTCTTTGATGAATGTAAAAAAATCCATTTGAATTGAAATGATAATGAACAATAACCATTAAATTGTAATAGATTTTTAATGTCTGTGTACATAATTTTTCAGCGGACAGGTTAAGAGATCTGACCATTACGGTAGGAACTGATATCTGCGCTACATATGTTGGTCCCGCCACTGGAATAAAGACTCTCACAATCGACTGTGATTTGGTTGGAGACGAAGTTACCATTACGAAGAATGGACGAACCCTCACTTTGTGCGAAGTCGAAATTTATTCATTTAGATAAACTGGCAGATGACTTCAAAGATGTTTCTAACAATTCTTAAGCAACAAGACTTTGACAACAACCAGCAAAACAAAACCTTTGAATCTTTCACGATATAATATTTTCAGTCCATTTTTCTGTCCATTCCATCCCAACTCATTGCATGTGTATATTTAAATGTCAAGTCTATTCTTTTCTTGCACAAACTAATGTTTGTTATCTAAGAAAGTTCATAATGATTTCAGGTACATGCGAAAATGGCGGCACATGCGTTTATAATATTACAAGTCCAAACAAAGCAAAAAATAACCAAGACGAAACTATACGTTCTTGCGTATGTCCAAGTGGTTTTAATGGAAACAACTGCGAAACAGGTATGTAATTTCTTTGTACATTCGATGTTAAATATTAGTCTGGATTATCTGCCCCTAAGTTCTAACACGGTTTACGCTGGGAACTAGACTAGGTCGAATGCATACTCTCTAAAGCGATTTCTTACCCTGAACAGTACTGTATGATGTGTGACATAGAGGGTCGAATTGTCCAGTGTTTTAAATCGTGATAATCGAACAGCATGGCCATTGCTGAGAGAGTTTTACGTTCCTGGAATGTGAGGCGGTGCATATTCTATCAGTCCAGCAGTTTTAATTAAAGATATATGATAAGCAGACAAACGACGATTTGATGAAAAAGATCAAACAGTCCTTATCATATCTTGTTATTATAAACAGTATAGTAATTGGGATATTAAAATCATATTTGCATAAAGCATGCACAGTGCCGCATATTTGACTATGAATATTTACTATGTTCAGTTCGATATAAGAGGTGGAACTGACATCGGTTACCCATCCACCAGGTGACAGCAGTTCAGTAATTAAACGATTTCCACGTTAAGTTTCTTTAAAATTGTACCACCAGCAGAATGAGGAAAATAAACAAGAAGTATTTCTGTTACATAGAGCATTTCAATTTCAGCAATAGACGAGTGTGCCTCGAACCCATGCCTTCACGGGACATGTGTAGATTTACATGACGCGTTCTTGTGTATTTGCAACCCTGGATGGGAGGGGGTGCAGTGTGACCAAGGTAAAACGTTACTAATTTAGTAAGCAAAAACATGTCGGTGTGTAACAAAGCATGTTTGAAGAAAAATTCTTACTGTTGATACAGTATCACTGAAATAAGCTGAATTAAATTGAAAAACAACAACACAACAGCAATAAATCGGTGGTATATAAATGGCAATTTTCAAGCTATTCTAAGTTTATTTATATATGCGTTTTCGCAGCCTTTGTTTCAGATAATGTTAGTTTTTACATTACGAAACGAACAAATTAGTACTCCGTTATCTGAGTCGCCAATTATTGTGTTACATGTATTTTTATGCTTTTTCTTTTTTGTTGACATTCACCAGACATTGATGAATGTTTATCTAACCCATGCGGAGAAAATGGTAACTGCACTGACCTGGAAAATGAGTATGATTGTGAATGCCCCTTTGCATATGCCGGGAACTGCGACTGTATTGACCGTGAGCTGCTTCCCTTTTATAGCATCACGTCTCAGTATATTGACTTTTTGCGACGGACGCGCGTTCAGGCGCGTTCAGAGCTAAGTCATCTACACATGGGATTTCGTTGGCTACAATCGCGCAATGTGTCCTAAACCAATTAACAGCCCAAGAAATAGTACATGAATTTGATCCTTCAAAACTCCCATACTTTGTCTGGATATCTTAATGTCTTCCATATTTAGCCTTTTCAATTTCAAATTAAGTTATCCAAGTTAAAATATGAACGTATATTATTGATAAAAACGTTGTAGTCCCGTAGTATTATTGCGCAATATGCAAATTACTGCTGAAACGATTTACCGCTGTCGAAAAAGTAGGACAGCAAATTATACTACAATAAAGGTGTAACCTCTGAGTTCCAAGACATTATTAGTAGGAAATAAATATTTCTACATTATACAAAACATTATTATTAACAAATCAAAAGTTTTTCGTGACTCTAGGATAACTCGCGCATTAATAAAAGAAAAACTATTTTCGTGACTCATACCGCGGGTTTAGCTGAATATTCAGCAGTTATTAATATATTAGATACAGTACAATGGCTAGTCTAAATATCTATTTTTGAAAATGCATGTAAGACACTTTACCGCCATGTAGTCTTTCATGGTAAGGAAGTTATAATATCAGTTCTACTTCCGATTCTTGTGGTTTGTTTACATATTTTACTAGGTCATGATATGAGTTAACCTTCGCTATTCTAAAAATAGATTCTGCTTCACCTGTTCTGATTTTTGGACAGGCGATTAGGAAGTACACATTAAACATGTAATTAATAAACCAGCGGATTGTAATGCAATACTTTTAGAAATGCTATACAATTGTAAGAAGTAAACAAGTTGAAAATGGAATTTAGTGTGAAGTTGAAAAGGACAACTAAACACTGTAGTGCTTAAGTGACATTTAAATTAAAATAAAAACGATGTGCTCTGGCCTCTACATCTTTACCTTGTAAATAAAAAAAATCTAAGAAATACACTATTAATTGCTGATGATTTTAACCAATTTTTTTTTTAATGAGACATATCCTAGAGAAATGAAAATACAAATGACTTATATTTTATTGTCTGTATGCCCACTATGATATAACACGAAGCAATTCTAAATAGCATTCTCAAATGTATAATGTATTATGTTTGAAGTTTACTTGCCTGGATTTATTCTAGAAATATTTCGTTGATAGTTTTTTTTTCTATTTACATATCATTTCTTAGAATAAATCGATAAGGACACTGATTTACAAGTTTGACCAGAGTTTTTAGGCATAAATTTCATTCTGTATTTAAGTGCTTGAAAGTAGAAAATCTGAATTATATCAATTCTGGACACAAAATATATTGCTCTACAAATCTCGAACTTGTATGGAACAAATTTTCTCTGTTATATATTTTGTGTTTTGTTTTTGTTTTGTTTTGTTTTTTCTAAAAGAAGCCTTAATGTCTCTCCGGTTGCATGTCCGTCGCATTCAGTGCTGCAGCACTTTGATTATATAACAAAGGTGTAAGTAAAAAGATGACATTCTATTTTTTCTGTTTCGATGTTACGTTCTGTAAGATTTCTGCACCGTTCATTTTATATTTATTAGGCGATGATTAGATTTGTTATTAGGAATTTAATGGTATATTATTTCAATGCATTTTGTATTCTGACAAAACACGACAGTTAATTTTTGCGAGCCACATTTTTTTAATTACTAGGATACTGTAAAGGTCATAAAATTATGTTGAGTTTGTACTTGCAATGGCTGAAAAATACCCTGAGTGGAATGAACGACCTTTCGTAGGCTAGCTAAGTAAAATGACCCGACCTTTTGTGCGCAAGCTGAGTAAAATGACATGACCTTTTGTGCGCTAGCTGAGTAAAATGACCGACCTTTCGTAGGCTAGCTGAGTAAAATGACATGACCTTTCATACGCTAGCTGAGTAAAATGACCGACCTTTCATACACAAGCTGAGTAAAATGACATGACCTTTCGTACGCAAGCTGAGTAAAATGACCGACAATTCGTATTCTAGGTCAGCAAAATGACCCGACCTTTCATTTGTTAGCTGAGTAAAACGACCCGACCGTTCGTGTACAAGCTGAATAAAATGACCTGACCTTTCGTACGCTAGCTGAGTAAAATTACCCATCCTTTCATACGCTAGCTGAGTAAAGTTACAGACCTTTGCACGCTAGCTGAATAAAATAATGACCTTACGTACGCTAACTGAGTAAAATGGCCCAACCTTTCATACACTTACTGAGTAAAATGACCTGACCTTTCGTACAAAAGTTGAGTAAAATAACCCGACCTTTTGTACGCTAGTTGAGAAAAATGGCCCGACCTTTCGTACCCTATCTGAGTAAAATGACCCGACCTTTCTTTAGCTGGCAGAGTTAAATGACCAGACAATTTTTGAACAAAAGCTGAGTAAAATGGCTTATTTTTGTACACTTACTGAGAAAAAATGGCCCGACCTTTCTTAAGCTAGCTGAGTGAAATGAACGATCTTTCGCTGAGTAATTTGACCGACCTTTGGTCCGTCAGCTGAGTAAAATGATCCGACCTTTTGTAAGCTAGCTAATTAAAATGACCTGACTTTTCGTGCATTAGCTGAGGAAAATGTCCTTAGCGGGAATCGAACAAGCAGCAGTGTTTATGTTGAAAATGGAAATTAATATTTGGCGTCGTAAGTGATTCAATTCTTTGTTATTTTGCTGTAATGAAGTTTAATCTGATTTATAGCCCTGATGGCAAACCTGGTTTACGGTTACAAGGACGTATACGACTCGAGTGCAGGTTGGGGCGGACAAGCAGAGTTTGCTGTCAACCAGGATTTTAGACCAATTCACGCCAATCTATACTGTCAGCACAGTGCCACCTCGGACTTGACACCATCCTGGACCATTAAGTTGATCCAGTCATTCCCAATAAGGAGAATTGTTATAACGAACAGAATGGATTGTTGCTGTAAAGTCATTACTTTTCCTTTATGGTTTTATACTGTAAACAGATTTTTACATTATCGATAAACCTTTCAGGACATACTTAAGATTTGGTCGGTGTAGAATTAGGTTATCAACGGAAGCAATGAGTAATGTCCCTTTCTTTGGTTTGAAAATAGCTGTGAAATTACTTGTTTTCAGTCCCGTGTCATCAGCTCTGAAATGTTGAATGTTGGAAATAATAGAAATTCGTCAAAAATAACCTCAAATAATTAAAAGAACACATTTTATCGGCACCATTTTTTAACAGAATGATGTCGCTTTATATGCAGAGAAGATAATTACAGCCTGTTCTACATATATATTGAAATTATCGATATCCGTCTCATGTTTAAACAATTCGAGTAGGAAATAGTGATGGCCCGCGCATGAATACTGAAATACACCGATGTAGTTTGAGTGGTGGTCTTTAATTACTGATATACATCTATAAACATTCGAAAAATAGTCTTTGTTAAATGAAATAAATTCATATAAATTGAAATGATAATGAACAATAACCATTAAATTGTAATAGATTTTTAATGTCTGTGTACATAATTTTTCAGCGGACAGGTTAAGAGATCTGAACATTACGGTAGGAACTGATATCTGCGCTACATATGTTGGTCCCGCCACAGGAATAAGGACTCTCACAATCGAGTGTGATACAGATGATTTGGTTGGAGATGAAGTTACCATTACGAAGAATGGACGAGCCCTCACTTTGTGCGAAGTCGAAATTTATTCATTTAGATAAACTGGCAGATGACTTCAAAGATGTTTCTAACAATTCTTAAGCAACAAGACTTTGACAACAACCAGCAAAACAAAACCTTTGAATCTTTCACGATATAATATTTTCAGTCCATTTTTCTGTCTAACACTGAAGGTGTTTTCAAAATTTATCAAATATAAATAAAGCATTAAAGTAAACAAAGACTTATCAAATGTTGTCATCCATAGATGTAGAGGATTTGTTGCGATACAACATATTCGGAGTTTAATCATATATTGTGATGATGAATATAAAAACCTTTAAAATTAATAATGCTATATGTAGTAAAAACATGAAAATTAAAATTAAACATCATTCCAACATATCATACTTCAGATATTTCATGAAGTTAATGAATTCAGGTAATGTCACAGGGTGAGAAAAATGTGCAACCTGAACCCGAGACCCTCGGAATACCGTACCGCGGCTCTACCGACTGAGCTATCCGGCCGCTTACACATCCTTGCCCCTAAATAGTGAACAGTTCTGAACCGTGACAGTAAGATGATATAAAACCTCAAGTGCAACTGGCTGAACTTCTATTATACCGGTTCACATAACCTGACACTTACATTTTTCGGTATGAATTGGTTATTTGTGAACGAATTTTGTTCATACAAAATTCAACATATCATACTTATTTCTTAGAATTTTATATATAATTCATAGACAAGAAATAATGACAATTAAAATCATAAATGCTACTGTAAAATGAAAAATCACAGAATTCCTGTTAAAATCATAACAAAATGAACAGTATCTGAATCCCACTAAATCTGTATGTTAACCAGTTCTAATATTTTTTGTGTCCTCCCATGGCTATAACAAAGTGTTAACACCTGCCTCATGGTAATGACGTAGTTTCTCATGAAGGCTTGGGAATATTATCCTGGGCTTCCTCGAGTTCCAGCATCTCCTGCATCCCAAGTCACCAAATCTAAACATCACGCTTGTCGGCCGAATTGAAAAGGCGTGCAAGAAAGCGACCAGAAGCCCCTCGCAATTTGCTGGAAACCGAGCAGGCCCTTGTTTAGGAATGGAGAACTGTGAGGCAGAGGTGTTTACTTTGTTATAGCCAATTGGGAGGACATACGAAGTGTGTTAGAAATGGTTAACATATAACATACAGATCTAGTGTGATTCATTTTCATTTTGTTACGATTTTAACAGTCGTTCTTTTCTGTGATTTTTCATTTTACAGTTGTCTTTTTGTTATGTTATTTTCTCTATTTTCTTATTTATGAATTTTAAATATAATTCTAAGTTGTAAGTATCATAATTATGTTGAATTTTGTAAGGACCAAATTTGAACAAATCCGTTCAAAAATAACTTATTGATACAGAAAAAATGCGTAAGGTTATAAGAGCCTCTGAGTTTAAGTTATTCTGTTAAAGGTTTTTCTGTTACATGTTATATAGACCTTTTTACGACGCGGTACGTTGTTGTGAAAAATTGACCGCAATCTGCGTCGGACAAAAAGAATTAATGAATAATGTTCTATAAAGAACAAAAATAAATGAATTCAGTAAGTAAATCTATCAGACATGCAGTTCTATAAAGAACATAAGTTCAACCCAAAATTAAGTTTCAACTAAATGCTCTTGGTAAGAACAAAAATAATCTTGCATTGAAAAATCATGATACCACTATCATCCAATCATATTCTCACTTACCAAAACATACTAGATAACTATTGGACAGTAATACTTGACAGCAATGGACAAAACTGAACAACACAAACATGACAATACCACTAATTCTAACGACGAATGAATATGAAGACAGGTGACTATGAAAAAAATTATGTACAATGAATCACGCTACCGTTACTACTGCCATAGGACCGCATTTTGTGGCGCATATTTTCGATCCTGTATCGACTTACATATTGTTTGTTCGACATTTGTATATCTTTTCATTTTATCCGAATGGGTGGTCATTGAAATTTTTAAATTCAAAATAGAAAAGTCATTTTTTATTTATTATTTATTAAATCTGACGGAGATTTTGCCAAATTTTAAAGTAGCAGATCTTGTTGAGTTTATATTATATTCTCAGAGACCTACTCTCGTTGAATACGAAACGATATTAAGATATAGGAGAAAATTGTTTTAAAAGCCGTTACATGATAGGAAATATGAGCCACAATCTGGTCGGGTCCGCCTAGACTCACGGTCCGCATCGTGCTACGACCAATCTGCGGTCCCGTTCCCGAGTTCCTCTGGTACAAGTATGAAAATTGCCCTTATCTACACTCCCCTCCTCTTCCCTCTCCCCCACCACCACCCCACTAGATTGAAATGACTCTGACATTTCTATGAAACTGTCAAACAATAATTTTAGTAAATGGTAACCAAATGTAACATTTTTTTATTGGGTTTTACGTCACATCTACACAGTATAGGTCATATAGCGACGTTCCAGCTTTACTGGTGGAGAAAGACCTCAGGTGCCCTTCCGTGCATTATTTCAGACACGAACGGGCACCTGAAACATGAATAAATGCTTCCAATATATTAACTTCCTTATAGTGTTTACCTTAAATGTGATATCCCTAGATTAATTTCAATGAAGGGAGATAACCACGATACAAGTATTATGAACCAGTTATATAAGAGTTGTTTCCCTATATTTATCTTTTTGATTAACTGCCATATACAATTAAATTAAATGTTAAATACTTAGTTTAAACATATTTTATTGTGTACATATTATGTAAATACATAAAAAATGGACTGTGGTTTTCTAAATTTGAGTCCATGTTATGTCTTCCGCATAGAATGACTTAGTTTTTGCAGTATTGCCCATGTTACATTCAAAGCATTTAAATCACAGGATAAGAAAATAGAATAGTCAATATATTGCTGGACGTCCGTCTTTTTATTTCATTATCTTAAGAGAGTTCATGTTAACTTGTAAAGTTGTTTTGAAGAAAAATAGTCGGTAACCTTGCCAGATATTGGAGCTTCTGATGTATTTTCAAAGATTTCTTATGAAGACTTACAATATAACATAATCTTCTTCTTCCTAATACATACTTATTTAAATTTGATGGACTAAGACACTAATTAAACGTGGACAATGCTGAATATTATTACCAACATGACCATGTTACAACATTCAACAAACAAACTTTGCTTTTTGGTTAACATATATATAACCATCAGCAGGTGTGTTTAATGTGCATTTAACAGTAATGTTGACTTTTCATTTTATTTTGTCAAAATTTTGTTTTCCAGGGAGAAAATTACAAGAAAATTATGATATTTTATTTTTAAAGATTGTTTTTATTACAATTAAAACGAAAAACAAAATACACTTCTTGATTATTACACCCTAAAAAGTATGTTTTGTCCCAATAATGAGACATGTATGCTAATATTTTCTTGTATACACCATTAAGACGCCTAAAAAAATCCGTACCTGTAAAAAAGATTTGCAAAGTTACGGGAAAGCAATTAATAAAAAAGCAGAATTATAATCAAAAGTTAATATTACAGTACGACAGTATGATGGAGACAGTACGACAGTACGATGGTAACAATACGACGGACTGTCTCCATCGTGATGTTGTGCTTCGCCATCGTACTGTCGTATTGTAACCATCGAACTGTCGCACTATTCCTATCGTACTGTCATGTTTCGCGCATTTCGTTCTCAGAGAAAATGCGCTGGTCCTAACAGAACAGCGTAGTTTTGCCCTTCTGACATTGTTAAAATGTCTCAGTAAACATTAATGCACGGAAAGGATATGGTTGTCCTAGAATTTCCATTATGAAAAAAATATAACGCACTGATTTCATTTTGAGATCACATACGTAATAACTATCGAAACATAAAGGTATGACATATCGTAGTTAAAGTAACTCCTATTTTCAGTTGAAAAGAATAAAAACCTGACTATCAATAATTTTTGTTTGCCAATGTCTAATACATGAAATGGTTTTTATCTACCAAATTGCAACATAGTATCAACATTTGACACTAGCGCAGGTTATATATACAAATAACCGTTAGGGCCATATAATCTATCAAAAAATCTTTTTAATAAACAATATATTCTGGTTTTCACAATTCATTGCTAGTTACTGTAAAATGTTGCCCCGTACTTCACTTAAGTGTTGTTGTAGTTTTTCTTGTCCTTCAGCATGTAAATGTTGAAGACTGAATACTTATCAAGCCGATGATTGGTGACGTGAAAGATGTTGCACTTTTTGGCGTCCGCGCCGAAGCGCGGCGCCTTTTATGTAATGAAATCAGATTTTGTGAAAGGGCGACAGCAACTTCTCGAGCCTTTTATAGTTGTTCATAATAAAAGCCGATCATTCCGATCGGTATGAGGGTGCTTGATTATTAATTAGTCGCGATATGTACAATGAATAGCGAACTGGAGAATTTCGCAATGCAAACATTTTCAAATGAAATAACCTTTTCAAATTAAATAACCATTTCCGTCAATAAATCGCGCTCTTCAATGTATTTTTATTTATCATTTTGTAGTACACAGTGGATTATTATGGTATGTTATTCCGAAAGCTGTAAATAGAATGATGAGTTGATGACCTAAATATTCCGAAAATCTATTTATAGAGGGATGTACTCCTGTCGGTAATTCCCGGTCTCTCCTGGTCTATTTTGACGACCGGCGAATAGTACCACATGTTTATTGTCCGGTCTCTCCCGGTTTTGGAGTAGATGTTTGATATCGTTACAGAACAGAACAAATATTTTACAGATAAATAAGCTTTTTTTCAAAATGAATGTTTGTCACTTAGTTTGGTTACAATAATTAATAAACACAGATCAACTCTCAAAATTATTGCTTATTATTATACATAAACATACAATTCGAAAAAAAACAACCAACAACACAAATCGCATGTTTTATTTTATCTATATGAGATAAAAACAATAAATATGAACAATAATTGAGAAAAATGTACATTTTTATGGCATTAATATGACACTATCAACTTTGAAACATTTTATTTAATTTGTTATCCGTGTTTAGTAAAGATGCCGAGGAATTATTCAAAGTTACAAATCAGATTTTATGAATTATTCAATTGATTGATAATTT